ATACCATCTATTCCTGGGGCCTTATTTTTTGCTATTTCCTTCAAAGCAGCTTGAACTTCTGCCTTCATCACCGTAGGCTCTGGCTTAAATGCTATTTCATTAAATTCTTCTGTATCTGCCAATTCCTTTTGGTACAATGACTCAGTACCTAGTATGTTAATATTTACGTGTTCCATTTCTTCCTTAACAATATCTAATTTTCCTGCACTCATGGCTCTCACATTCCATGTTCCAATCACTAGTGTCTGCTTTAGAAGAGGTGGTGGTACTAGGGATATTGTAGCTAATGTTAGATGGATCATGTCTGTGTTTCATCGACTATGCAAAGGCGTTTGACTATGGATCACAACAAACTGTGGCTGACTCAGAGAAAAATGGGAATTCCAGAACACTTGATTGTGCTTATGTGAAATCTATACTTGGACCAGGAGGCAGTCATCAGAACACAGCAAGGAATTCAGTGGCATGGTTCAAAATCGGGAAGGGTATACGCCCGGGATGTGTCCTATCTCCATACCTTTTCAATCTATGTGCAGAACAGATTATCCAGGAGGCTAGTCTCTATGAGGAGATATGCAGGTGACACAACCCTGCTTGCTGCAACTGGGGAGGACCTGAATTTAGCACTTGCTGCAGAAGATCAAAGACTGCAGCCTTCAATATGGATTGAAGCTCAACATCAACAAAACAAAGATTCTCCGCTCTGGGCTGATTGGCAGCATTATGTAGATGGTGAAAAGATTCAGATTGTTCACAGCTTTAGTTTGCTTGATTCCACAATCAACACTTGGCACCTGCAATCAGGAAATTAAAAGACATATTGCGATGGGAATCTTTTCAGTTCCTTAAGCTTAAGAAATGCTGAATGAGTTTGGCCCTTTTGATTTTCTGACTCCTTGCACAATTTCACTGTAATATTTTGCTTTGTCGTTCTGTGCTGCTTTTTGAAATCTTCTATTCAACTCTTTAGTATCTTGAATTCTTCCTTCTGCTTTGGCTTCTCTGCACTCCAGTGCAATTTTCAGAGTCTCTTCTGACATCCATTTTGGTCTTCTCTTTCTCTTCTGTCTTTGCAATAACTGTTTACACTCTTCCCGGATGATCCTCCCACAACTCATCTGGTCTTTGCTCATTAGCGTTCAAGGCCTCAAACCTGTTCCTTAGATGGTTCTGAAATTCAAGTGGGATAGACTCAAAGCCATATTTTGGTTCCCGTGGATTTGGTTTTAATTTTCCTCAACTTCAACTTGAACTTGCATATGAGTAATTGGCTCCTGGCCTAGTTTTCACAGCTGATATTGAGCTTCTCCAGCGCAATAGAACAGAGCAAGGAAACACTGCATTGTTCAAAATTGGGAAGGGCATATGTCAGGGATGTGTCCTTTCTCCATACCTTTTCAACC